AATAAAAGTGTTGCACTAAATATGGTAAAATGTTACACATTGCTATTTGTTTTATAAAATCCATTCATTAAAAACATTCATATGTATGTTTAAGTATATACTATAAATTTAAAATACATTTCTTTTAAATGTATAGCATATTTTTTAATAAGACAACAACATATGATAGATACGATAGGACAAAACAAATACACAGATAGCAAAACACTAGAACATTACAATCTAAAATTGCTCTTTAAAGCATTAAAAAAACTAACAAGTTAAAATCACTGAATTAAAAATGAAAATAAATAATAAATAAAATTACTTTTAACTGGTATAAAAAACACACATTAACTCATCTGAGCTTAGTAATTAGTACTGTATAGCTTACATTTGATTTACCTATTACAAGTCCCTTCACAGTTACTGCTATCATAAAAATACACTTATATGTAGGTTTAAAATTCTACAAAAGACACATTTAATGTCCAAGATGTTTTTTTCTGTATCTATCTGTATTTATGTTCTACTGTTAATGTTATCTGTATGCACCAAGGGTCTGAGAGTAACGCAATTTCAATTCTCTGTGTGTAGGTGCTCTACATGTGGAAGAATTGACAATAAAGCAGACTTGACTTGACAAGAACAAATATTTTTGCCAAATGTATATTTTACTCAGAATTATTGCGCTACTATTTGATTACGCTTTGTCTGTTAAGCGTGCATGCTCGCAGCAGCGCACGTTCACTCGCATAAGCCTTGCCCACTCCTGATAGCAAAATGGATATATTTGCATGACTTTGACATTTACAGATGAAAAATATACCTGTGACATGTCAGTTATGCACTGAGGAAAACACAACGTCTCAAATGCATTAAACAGCACAGATATATTCGCTGTTTGCGATAGTGCATAGACTTGATCCATGATCGACATTAAGGGCTGCTTAAGAATAAGAGTCCACAAATTAGTGAGATTGTGTGAATTTAATTTGTCGTTTATGGAACCGCCTTTAGCCACGATTGATTTGTTAGGTTATTTCAGGTCAGGTTTTGGACTTTAATCCCAGTTTTTCCTCGGGTCTCTGTGGTGTTGTGATTCGTCATATTCACACAGCAGCAGTGGTGACCCACACGACGCCATACACGCTGTCTGCCATCTGCCCTGTACAGTGAAAACCGGGATTCATCCGTGAAGAGAACACCTCTCCAAAGTGCCGGACGCCATCGAATGTGAGCATTTGCCCACTCAAGTCGTTTACGACGATGAACTGCAGTCAGGTCGAGGTCCCGATGAGGATGACGAGCATGCAGATGAGCTTCCCTGAGACGGTTTCTGACAGTTTGTGCAGAAATCCTTTGAATCGAATGTTACAGCAGCTGTCCGGGTGGCTGGTCTCAGACGATCTTGGAGGTGAAGATGCTGGATGTGGAGGTCCTGGGCTGGTATAGTTAATTCTGTGAATTATTTCATTTTTGACTGCTGTTTTAGGAATAGAACGTCTAAAAATAAATCTGGAATTCTTACATAAGCTTCAGACATTTTTAAACATGTCTATATTTACACAAAGAGTTCACAGCTATAGACAGATTCTCTACAGGCCGACTGAATTGTTTTTTTTGTTTCAGAAATGTGATTCACAGTCCAGTAATAAATATTTGAGTCTTCTTCAACCCTCAGAGTTTTTCTGTTCTGGGAGCAGTTTCCATTTGCTGTATTTTTACACTGATCTGAGACCAGTTTTATTTATGTCATGAGGTTGCAAGCAACATTTGGGGAAAGGAAGCTTCTAGAGTAGGGTAAAGGGAAAACATCTCCTCATCTGATTCTAAGAGGCCTTGTCTTGGTTGTGTCTGAGCTCACTTGAAACAAAACTGCCTTTGTGTCTTAAGAGAAGCATGTTTATGGAAACAACTCCCTCAGAATTTCCCTTACCGAACATTCCTGAAGCTCAAATCCATTTAGTTTGTTGGTCTGTTCAGATCAAAATGTTATTTATCTGATATTTAGTATTTTATTTTACTTTTCTTTTTCTTTCTTTCTTTCTTTCTTTCTTTCTTAGAAAGAGTGGGAGAGGGGGATAATATGTCAAGAATATTTCTCCTGACGCATAAAATAAATAATGAAATAATTGTTTTTCATAGCTTATTAAAGCAGTCAGTTCACAAATTGCTAACACTGGAGGATAATTAGTCTTGGACAAGTGACTGCGTCTTCATTAAATTGAGATGTTACACAGCGTAATTGTTTTGAGGAAGTTAACAGTTCATTACAAGTGGTTAAGTGCTTCTGTACTCACTCTCACAGACACATTGAGCAATTTAAACAAGACGTTAAAAGCAGAATTTGTGTTCACATAATATATTTTTCTATATTTTCTTTTTAATTAACTCATTTTTTATGTCTTATCGTTTTAAAGTGCCTGAAGCAGTATGTGGAACTTCTCATCAAAGAGGGCTTTGAAACGGCCATCAGCTGTCCAGACTCAGTCTGTCCAAAACGTGGACATTTACAAGAAAATGAGGTACTGTCAACATGCACTACTGTTCATAAGAGTGGGTCATGATTCATAGGTTTTTTTTTTTTTTAAGAAATCAATTTATTTAGCAAGGAAGCATTAATTGCATTGGTCAAAAGGGACAGTAAAAACTTCTACATTGTTACAAAATATTTATATTCAAATAAATGCTGTTCTTTTGAACTTTCTGTTCATCACACAATAAAGAAAAAAAAACAGTTGTGGTTTCCTCAAAAATATTAAGCAGCACAAGAGTTTTCAGCATTGATGATGATAGTAATAAATGTTTCTTGAGCAGCAAATCAGCATATTAGAATGATTTCTGAAGGATCATGTGACACTGAGGCCTCGAGGAATGAATGCTGAAAATTCAGCTTTGCCATCACAGGAATAAATTACATTTTAAAAATCTAATGAAATAGAAAACATTTTTATATTTTAAATTGTAATAATATTTCACAATATTACTATTTTCACTCACAAAACATTTAAAAACCTTACCGCCCCCAAACTTTCAAATAGTGGTGTACATATTCCTGCATTTTGTAAAAAAAAAAACAAAGTAAATGACAGGGACTTTATTTTTAGCATTAGCGTTTTCAATGAGGCGTCCTTGAAGTAAAATAAAAAACAGCTTTAAATCATAAAAATTCATGAAAAAAATACAGAGCTAATGATCTGTTAAACATTGTATAAGGTAGTAATGTTAATCTGCAGTTTTGCTAATCTGCTCATGCAGTTCTTTCAACAAACCCTGCAGTAGCTTCTGAAAAAACAGCCAAATACATTATTTTCCAAATAAAAATCCTAAAATGAATCCGTATCTCATCAAGAGGAGATTAAAACCCTTTTAGCTTAAAATGGATGCTGAAACCTCTCCAGTCTGACTGCGAAATCCTTCCAAGTATGAGGTCAGTCCGAGGGCAGGGTTCCTCCTCTGTGCTGCAGGCTCATTGTGAGGATGGCTGGCTCGGTCAGTGTCAAAGCATCAAAGCAGCTAAACCAGATGAATCAGACCCAGATTCAAAGCATCCGAGCAACTAAAGCATCTTTTGGCAATCCTTAAAACTGAACTATGTCGTTTCTGCACCACTAGCATCACCAAACAGAACTGCAAAAATGCACTATGCATATTCCTGCTGTGTTGTTTGATCTCGAGACAGTGATTAGATTGGAAACCATATTTGATGTTAGGTGTGTGTTTACCCACATCAAATTGAAAAGCTAAATGCGCTATCTGCAAAATGAAAAGTGCGTTCGTATCCATCAGACCACATTGATTCATAATTGCTTTTGTTGTCTCTTTCTCTCTCAGATTGAATGCATGGTGGCCACAGAGATAATGCAGAGGTACAGGAAGCTGCAGTTTGAGAAGGGTAAGTGGAAAGCGGCTGTCTGTCCGTCAGGGGGGCAATTAGTATCAGACAGCGGCAGATGAGGCACGTGTGCGTGTTTGTTGATGGTGATCTCCATGCTTGCTGTCCTAGATGTCTCCGGGTGACTCACTGTAGACAAATAGGCCGGCGCAGGTGTATGTGTGAGGATGAAAGGGATGTGAGTGGACTTGCACTGGACACGTGTAGGTCCAGCTGACCTCATGCTGTCGCAGAGTGGAGGCTTTTACCTGTGCTTTCTCTGTGTCTAACAATGAGAGCCTGCCACCTGCCGACACCTAGTTTAACTGTCTTTTTTTAGTATTTTCTGATTATCATTTGGGAGAAAAAGAAATCAGAAAGCACCAGATTTAAACCTGCTTTGTCCACGTGAGCACCAAAGTTTTAAAACGCATGCTGACTACCATTCCACAGTCCTGACATTCAGTTTTGTGTCTTAAAATATGTTCTAGCCATACTTTTTTTTCAATGTGGAAGGAAGTTATTTCCTGTGCATGTGCGAGACTTCTGATTCATTAGCTACTATTGGTAAATAACTAGTGCAGAAAACAGTAAATTGTGTGATTTATTATTAAGATACTACATTTTAATAATATAATTAATAAATACCAGTTTGCAATATCAAGCAGCTTAACACACATTCAAGCTAAAAATGGCTACACCTGCTCTTCTGTTGAAAATAAGGTGGACATTGAGTTTTAAAAGATTTAGGCTAAGTGTAATTATTTTTTTTAAACATGTTTCTAAAACACTTCCTCTGGCAGCAAAAAGCCCCGCCCCAAACTCATGCCATTGGTTGAGCCAGTGTTGCAATGTCAGGCTGGTCAGGATGTTTTGATAGTGGCACAGTGTTTACACTTTGGTAAACCTATTATATAAATTTGCATATATAAATACATATTTATATTTGTGTCATGGCATAGGGAAACTTCAATAAAATAATCTTCACCTTCAAGACAAGCAGAGTGGATTTACATAAAAGCATTTCCACAGACAATATGTAAAACATTTACATATAAAACATATTTGTAAATATACATATGTTTACATATAAAATACCTATTATGTTGTTTTATGATTAAGTATCATATTTCAATGGAAATTCATTTTTCCTATTAGCAAAATCTGTCAGAATCAACTTCAATAGGATAAACTGAAATTCACAGCATTTCAACACAACTTATATTCATACATTTCTTGGCTGATTTTGGATTGTTGAAGGTAAATGTAATATTATGCACTTATAATGTGTTCTGCCTTCAGAAAAAAAATGGTGCAACCAAATTAAAGGGATATTTCACACACAAAAAATAAAAATTTGTCATCATTTACTGACCCTCCACTTGTTCTAAACCTGTAGACGTTTCTTTATTCAATTGAGGGAAACCATTGACTTCCATAGTATTTTTTTTGAATGTCAATGGCTACTGTCAACTGTTTTGTTACCCACATTCTTCCAAATATCTTCTTTTTCATTACTGGGTGAACCATCCCTTTAAGTACAGAGTTATTTAAATACTAGCTAGCTGTTACTAAGCCTCTAGTTTGGAAATACCAATGCAAGTAGGAATTTACAAACTACTGGTGCAACCCTCTGGCCACCAATAATTATTCTCTATCACGAGGTAAACCATGAACAGTGTTAAAATCCTGGATCACATTAATCTAGGATTAAAAATGATCCTTGGCTACCAATTTGAAGTGCGAGAGGCCCAACTTCATACCTTTGGCAGTGCCATTTCCTGAACAGTGCTTTATAATCCAGGGTTTAAGGCTTTACAAACCCTCTGTCAAAATTACAACCGTGAAATCCAGGGTTAAAAGTGGACTTAACCTGGGATTTAAAAAGGCTCAGACTTAAGTGAAGTTCAAATGAAGAGTCTTTAAGTTTCCTCTCTGTATCTGAATCAGTCTGACCTCAAATGCCTTTAATTTTAACAAATGTAGCTTCTTAAGTCAGAAATCTCCCAGATCAAAAGACTTATAAAGAGTAAATTAGACTTGTGTTAATTGGATACGCTTGATCAAAAGCATACATGTTCCCCCTAAACAGGAAAGACCAGAGGCTCTGTGCCTTGTGCTCGGCTTCTTTCATTATTTCTATCAGTAGGGGATCCCAGACTCTGGACTCTGATAGTCTCCAGTAGTTTGAACTACAGGATACATTTGCTGGAGGCATACTCTCTGTCCACCCCCTCCAGTGCATTACATTGCCTTGAAAAGGGAGAAACATAATAAATAAATGTAGTTATATGCAATAGATGCTCCCATGCTGTGAGCCTCCCTCTCTGTCTCTCTTTAGTTTGCATTCGAGGATTTCATGAGAACCGTGGCAGCAACATCATCATAAATGAGAGACTTGTAGAGACTGAGAGTAAAAATGCATTAATTTAGCCAATCAGTGTTCCTGGGAACTGGAGCGGAATGGTGGCTATAACATATCCACACTCCCAGAAACAGAGCCAAGAGTTAATGTGGAGTCACGCGTGGCCTGCTGTGTCAGATGGAGAGGATGAGTGAGTTTGGTTTGTGTGTGTCTCGCAGTGCATTCGGGGACGGATGAAAATGCATGCCATCCTGACTCAAGAAGACAGCTAAAAATGGCAGTCAGCTGATTTTATGAATACATAATTACCCCCAACCGCAAATTACATACATAACCGAGCTTAGCCATATGTCACTAACAGAGCTTTTATGCATTTGTCAGGCAGACAAGCCAGTAAAAGCATTGTGAAATGGATAGTTATGTCTGTAAATTTGTATTGAATTGGCAGCATTCGAAGCTATATATAGAGACCAGAATATCATAGAGACTTGAGGATGTGAACCAGTAAGAAACTCAAGTCACATACTGTAGCAACCACCAAGAACAACCTATCTTGCAAACCTCCAAGCAAAACCCTAGTAACCACCAAGAACCAAGGTTCTAGAAATGCCATACCATCCAGAACTCCCTAGTAACCACTTAGAACCAGCCAAGGAACTGCCTAGCAACACCATATAAACCACCGAGAAAAGCCCTAGCGACCACTTGGAGCACCAACCATCTTGCAAGGCCCTGGAAACCACCTTGAACATCCTAGTAACCAAACAACAACTTCTTAGCAACCATTCAGAACACCCTAGAAACCACTAAGAACCATCCATGGAACTGCCTAAAAACATCCTAAAAACCACCTAGAAATGTCCTAGCGACCACTTGGAGCACCAACCATCTTGCAAGGCCCTAGAAACCACCTTGAACATCCTAGTAACCAAACAACAACTTCTTAGCAACCATTCAGAACACCCTAGAAACCACTAAGAACCATCCATGGAACTGCCTAAAAACATCCTAAAAACCACCTAGAAATGTCCTAGCGACCACTTGGAGCACCAACCATCTTGCAAGGCCCTAGAAACCACCTTGAACATCCTAGTAACCAAACAACAACTTCTTCTTAGCAACCGTTCAGAACACCCTGGAAACCACCCAGAACCATCCATGCAACTGCCTAGCAACACCCTAGAAACCACCTAGAAATGCCCTAGCGACCACTTGGAGCACCAACCATCTTGCAAGGCCCTAGAAACCACCCAGAACATCCTAGTAACCACATAGCAATGTCTTAGCAACCATCCAGAACACCCTGGAAACCACTCAGAACCATCCATGGAACTGGCTAACAACACCCTAAAAACCACCTAGAAATGCCCTAGCGACCACTTTGAGCACCAAACATCTTGCAAGACCCAAGAAACCACCCTGAACATCCTAGTAACCACATCGCAATGTCTTAGAAAGAAGACATGAATCTAGAAACAAATCTGTAAGGCCCTGGCAACCAAAAAAACACCCTAGAAACAGACTTATAATACCCTAGCAACCACCTGGAACACCTAGCAAAATCCTGGCGAACACCAATAACAAAGGCCCTTTTAAACCACCTAAAAATTACCTAGTAACCACTTAGCAATGTCCTGACAACTACCCAGGACACCATAGAAACTGTCTAGCAAAAGCATAGGAAAAACCAAGAACCAAGGAAATATAAACAACCTAGCAACCCCTCATAACACCCTAGAAACCAGCTAGAAATGCCTTAGAAACCACCCAGAACACCCTAAAACTACCTAGAAATGCTCTAGCAACACCCAGACATCCAGATCTTTTGGACAGTCAAGCACCAATGACATGTTATCAGAGAATATAAACCTAGCTACTATTAAATGTATTATAATAATTATTATACTAATTATTAAATGTTATTATTTATTGAACAACAGCGTCTCCGCCTCCTGTTGTGCCCAGCCGTGAACTGTGGTAAAATCAATATAATGCACAGACCTCATGTGGCTTTTTGTCGTATTGAAGTCTAATGTAACTAATGAATTTATGCAGAACTATGATTGGTAGCAGCTCTGGTATCTTGTTCCTGAGGGCATATGAGGCCATAGATGCTCTTTTCTATCACCCCTCCATCTCTGATGGTGTAACCATGGTGACCTGTCAGCCCACATCAGCAGTAAGCAGCCGAAAATATACACTTGCGGAAACCACGTCTGATCTCTTCTCTCACCCCCTGCAGAGGTGCTGCTGGACCCGAGCCGGACCTGGTGCCCGTCCTCCACGTGCCAGGCTGTGTGCCAGCTGAAGGAGTCTAACATGGCGCTTCCACAGTTGGTGCAGTGCAATGTTTGCACACTTGAGTTCTGTTCCGCCTGCAAGGCCAGCTGGCACCCGGACCAAGACTGCCAAGAGAACATTCCCATCACCGCGTTTCTGCCTGGAGAGAGCAGGTACTGTTGCCTGTTAAAGACTTTTTCTAGATTCGGTGCAAGCTGAGTTTAATAGAAGTGAATGTGGCCAATCTGTAAACGTTAAAAGTACTTTGTTTCATCATTATAGCCACAGCAGTAACAACTTTACATGATTTTAGTGTGGAGGGGGGGGGGGGCTTAAAGGATAGTTCACCCAAAAATGAAAGTTCTGTCATTAATTACTTATGTCGTTCCAAACCCGTAAGACCTTTGCTCATCTTTGGAAGACAAATTAAGATATTTTTGATGAAATCTGAGAGCTCTCTGACGCTCCGTAGACCGCAATGGAACTGAAACATTCAGTGACAGAATTTTCATTTTGGGTGAACTATCCCTTTAACTTTTTTCATAATATTCAATAATATAACTTTCTTGATAAAGTGATGTGTAACTGTAAAGTGACTGTAAAAATTACAGGAAAAACTTTAGAACATCAAATAATTCATAATTCACAAGTTTTAGGAGAATAATTAATGTAAGGGGATTTATAAAATTACACAATGCAAGGATAGTTCACCCAAAAATGAAAGTTCTGTCATTAATTACTTATGTCGTTCCAAACCCGTAAGACCTTTGCTCATCTTTGGAAGACAAATTAAGATATTTTTGATGAAATCTGAGAGCTCTCTGACGCTCCGTAGACCGCAATGGAACTGAAACATTCAGTGACAGAATTTTCATTTTGGGTGAACTATCCCTTTAACTTTTTTCATAATATTCAATAATATAACTTTCTTGATAAAGTGATGTGTAACTGTAAAGTGACTGTAAAAATTACAGGAAAAACTTTAGAACATCAAATAATTCATAATTCACAAGTTTTAGGAGAATAATTAATGTAAGGGGATTTATAAAATTACACAATGCCATTCACAAAAATGTGGGGTTTTTTTATGTAATGTAATTTTTCAAAATTCATCAAGGATGCATTAAATTTATCAAGTGACAGTAAAAACATTTATAGTGATATAAAAATTATAAAAAATTATTTTGAATGAGTTTTGAACTTTCTATTCATAAAATAATCCTGAAAAGAAAAAAATCACTGTATCATTGTTTCCACAAAATTATTAAGCAGCGCAACTGTTCTCTAAAAACTTTTTTTTTTCAGCATATTAGAAAGATTTCTGAAGGATCCTGATACTGAAGACTGGAGGCTGCTTAAAATTCAGCTTCACAGGAGTCAATTAAATTTTAAAATATATTAAAATATAAAATAGTTATCTAAAATTGTAATAATATTGCACAATACTACTGTTTTACTGTATTTTGATCAAATGAATGCAGCCTTGGTAAGCATAAGACTTCTTTCAAAAAATAAAAAAATCTTACCAAACCTAAACTTTTCATATTTTTTCTTTCAAAAATAGGGAACAATTCTCACTATTAACTAGTTGCTTCCTGCATGCCTTTTATTAACATATTGGCTGTTTATTAGTGCTTTATTCCATGGACTGTCTGAATACTGTATTCTGATAGGCTGGCAGGTATGCATTAAAACCGGTTAATGCACAGGTAGTTCCAAGTCGTTTTAATCACCGTTCTATATTAATGCGCTGCTTTAATTGATGCACACAAACCCACACACACACACACATAGAGAGAGAGAGAGGTCGGAGATCACAGATTGCACTGCGCAGTGCGCGCACACACAAACTTGTTGTCAACGCTTCCCTGTGATTTTTATTAATAAAATAGCCTAGATACTAGATCACTACATTATATTCCTCTGCAATGAGGTGGTAAAATCGCTGTTTTTAAAGTAATTAATTGTTTGTAGAGAGAGACGCTCAGACACAGCACGTAGTTAAAGCACACACAACTGTCATCTCTCTCTTTCTCTCTCTCTCTCGATCGATAATGCTATAATTCAAATAAATGTGCACTATTTCGTCTCTGTGTCTGATTTGAAGCGGGCAGAATGCTAGAGCTAGCGAGCCATAACTGACGAAAATAACTTTTTTTTACATTTTTACACATTCGGTCAAATATTGCGCTACAAAGAGCAATACTAGTTTTAACTTGTCTATAACTTGGCAAATGACCGTGGAATAAGCGGGATAATCAACGGCTTTCCGTGCATTAAAGGATTTTAAATGCACTTTGCGGAGGCAAAGAACCACCAGACGCGAAGTGGAATACTGGATTTATAAAGTCTGTTGATTATCCTTTACTTATAAAGCACATATTCTGCATGACCATATTCTACATCCCTAATTAGACTCAATACCTAAACTTAACTACATTAAAGGGGTCATATGACGCGATTTCAAATTTCCTTTCTCTTTGAAGTATTACAAGCTCTTGGTGCATAAAGAAAATCTGTAAAGTTGTAAAGACTAAAAAAAGTTAAGAATCAACCACGCCTACCTAAAATGGCTCTTTCTAACATGCCCCCACATGTCTATGTCACTATGTGGGAAGATTTGCATAACACCGCCCAAATGTTCATGCAAAGAAAGAAGGCGTAACTTTTATTCTCGCTGTAGTATTGTTGCTGCCACCATGTTGTGAAAGCGAAACTACTTCGTTTGGCCTTCCAAAAGAGGACGATATCCGCTTCGTCATGCCTAGAGCTGATCCGTGCTGGTCACTGAGGAAATACATCAACTTCGTGCTGTGGATCGCCGGATCGGCTTTCACCGTGGACGAAGCGGAGTTCAGCCCGGGGTCGTCACATGTGGTTGCTGCAAGCCCTCCGGCCGCTCCTTTGTCGAATCTGCTGGCCGCCGCTCACTCAAGGCCGCGTGTGTGACGCTTCTCTCTTCGCTTCAACTCTTCGTTGTGAAAGCGAAACTACTTTCTTTGGTCTTCCAAAAGAGGACACGACTAGATATCAGTGGTTAAGTTGTATTTACAACACTGTTCCAGAACAGTTCAACCGAAATATTCAGATGTGTGCTGCACATTTTATGGAGGACTGTTTCCTGATCCTGGTAGAGTAGACTACAATGCCGGCTGTTCTGACTCACAGACTGTAAGTAAGTTTTTTTTATATCTAAAGAATTTGCCACTGACAATTCAAATGCGAGTTTTGAGCAGTGTAGAGTAGCGATTGTATTTTGTAATTTCTCCGATCAAAAATGCAGACATGGTTTTATGTTTACACGGAGCAATGCAACGCGTAAATGACAGTATAAGTCATTATAATCCGTAATTATGTCCCCACTGGATGCAACAAATGCCTCGTTTATAATGGGTTTTAATGTTTTTGTCTCGTCGCCCCGGCCGGATAGGGCATCACAGTTTGGTAGGGGCGTAACATTTCCGTCACACGCTTGAGGTATTTGGCCAATCACAATGCACTGGATAGCTGGCCAATCACAACACACCTCGCTTTTCAGACCGATGAGCTTTCTAAAAATCGAAGCGTTTCAGAAAGGCGGGGTATAGAGGAGAAACAATAATGTACAGTATATGGAAAATAATGTGTTTTTTTAACCTTAAACCGCATAAACAAATTTCATTACACCAAATACACAAAATAATGTTCTTTTTAGCAACATCATATGACCCCTTTAATATTAATAAGACGCAAATTAGGAGTTTAGTGAGGCTAAATTCATAGTTAACGGTTGTTAATGGCGAGAATTGGACCTTAAAATAAAGTGTGACCAAAAAAAATAAATTGGCCCCATTCACTTCAATTGTAATGTCTCACTTGTTTTGTAAACAAGACGAATGATGAGTCAATCAATTATCTTTTGGGGTACATTATGCCACAGATGAGCTTATCTTGTACGGAACATGGAATATTCCTTTAAGTCTTTCTCCTCCTCATTTATCAGCAGCTATGCCTCGGTGTAGTTTTGTCTCTTTGATGTGCATTTAAACGCTCCCATCCTCCCCACTGGTCCTTATGTGAATCCAGCTGTCACAATGAGGCATGTTCTGTGTAATGATGTTCGATGTTGATGAGTCGACAATGAGATTTGAAATGAAATGCCACGATCCGTCTGTGTTTTTCTGCACTATTGAACATACTCATCATTCAATCTAAGAATGGATCTTCTGCTTCTAGTTGCTGAAGAGCGCTTTGCTCTCTGCTCAGTAAGCCAGAGATTCATGCACCGGTGTTATTTGACATTCCTGTCACACGCACACTTCATTCAAAAGCGAAAGCATCATTGAGCGGAGTTTCTGATCCTTGATCTTGGGTCGTACATGAATGAACACTCAGCCTGCTCTGAAGTGAATTGCTTCACTAATACACACTAGAGCCTTTCAAGTTTATAGCTCAATTTCTGTATCATTTCATGTTTGAGATTACAGCTAAACTCCAAAGTATATCTCCGAGGGATTCTTGATTTCATATATCTCCGAGGGAGATTGATTTCAAGCTGTCTCTAATTCTTTAGACAGCTTGAAATCAAATTGGACCCCATTTACACTTTAAACGGGCTGTTGTTTCCTCAAGGAGCTATGAGCTGACCTGCCTCTTAAAAAAGTTGATTTGGTCAGTGTAAATATAATTAAACTATATTTGGAAAAAAAGGGGGTATCCTGAGCCACCCTGTGAACTAATGTGATGACTGTGCACAGTTAAACAGTTAATTCATTCATTTGTTTTTAGGTTATTTGAATTTTTACAGTATACTTGATCAATTATTTTATAAAAAATTTTCACATTTCACATTACAGTTTTTCAAAAGACTGTTGAGTTAGCATTATCTTGGTGACATATCAACAGAATTTGCAACAACAATGTAAAATACATTACAGAAAACTAAACATTGAAGTTTGGAATGGATGTACAATATCAGTGAATATAAAACTTTCATTGGCAACTGACCGAGAACTCTCTCACACTGGCCTCAGGCCAGCAGCCGTCCTTATTGTTAAGATTTGCTATGGCTGTGTGGGCAGAAGAAAAAAAAAATATCTCAGCTTATTAGAATGAATAAGCCCACTTGTCATAATAGAATCAAATCTGATGGCTATAATTAGGTCTTAACCTACAAAATTTTCAGCAGCCATTACTCCAGTCTTCAGTGTCACATGATCCTTCAGAAATCATTTTTAATATGCTGATATTGTGCACAAGAAACATTTATTATGCTGAAAACTGTTTATTATTACTTAATGCTTCGATACGTTTTTTGATTCTTGGATTCATTTTTGCTTCTTTTATGAATACAGAAGAAGAACAGAAATCTTTCTTAACATTGTAAAAGTCTTTACTGTCACGTTTGATTAATTCAATGCACCCTTGCTGAAGATAAGTATTAATTTCTTTAAAAAAAAAAAGTACTGACCCCAAACTTTTGAACACTATTGTGTGTGTGTGTGTGTATATATATATATATATATATATCAGAAATAATCACATTACTACCATTATTTTGATTATTAATACTACTTTACTAAGCTACTAAACTGCTTTACTAATCTGCAGTGTAGCAGTACAGTGAGTCAGACTCTGCTACTGTTTAACGTTGTGTGAGAGGTTTGCCGCACAGTGTCACTTCCCTTAGATCAATAGACTGGGAATTGTCCTGGAAATGAATGGGCTTGTACCTGTCAGCTCGGTCCCTGTGGGTCAGCCTCTCCATTACCAGTGAACACTGTCCCCGGCCCACAACTCTTTAGTACATATAAAAGCAAAGGGCCTGTCTGAGAAAAAAAGAATGGACTGTAGTACCAGTACCAATGTTTTTTGTCCTTTGTACCCCGCAACCTGGAACGAGAAAATGGTTCATTTTAACTCTACTATAATCTCTTTTTTTCCAGTTCGTTCTTTAAGGCTGACGATGACGACGCCCCCATCAAACGCTGTCCCAAGTGTAAAGTCTACATAGAAAGAGACGAGGGCTGTGCCCAGATGATGTGTAAGAACTGCAAGCATGCTTTCTGCTGGTACTGCCTGGAGTCTCTGGACGTAAGTGCTCAATATCTCAGCTTAACACTCTTAACATCATGCTGCTATCTTACTGTATTTTTATTGGTCAAGTGGCCGCCGCTTAGGCAGCATGTTAGCCTTCAATCAAGGCCGTAAATGCAAACAGCATCCTTCATGCAGCTGTTCCGAACACCCACGTAGATAATGACTGGCCTCTCGTAAAATTGTGTGTTTGACAGGATGACTTCCTCCTGATCCATTATGACAAAGGACCCTGCCGGAACAAATTAGGCCACTCCAGAGCCTCCGTGATCTGGCACAGAACGCAGGTGGGTGCTCACGGGAAGGAGCACATGTTTTCTTCCTCCTTTTTTCTCCACTGAGATCAGAATGAGTGCACGTGCGCCTACACGTGACCGAATCGTAGGCATCCATTCAGACGGTGTTTATTCAGGAAGTAAATGGCTGTCTGTTCTCGAGCAAGTGATACCTGCTGTTTGACAGCAGATTATAATACAAGACGGTCACTTTGGGACAAATTCACTAAAATGATTCATCAAATGATGGAGAAGAGCAGTATAACCAGACATATATTTAGATGAGCAATTCAGACAAGCACATTTTAAAAGGCCATCTCCGGTACTCCCTCCACCCGTTGTGTTTCATTTGTTCAGACTAAATAATAATAGAAGAATATTACATTGAAAAAGGCTGATTTTATAAAAGAATTCTAAGAAAACAACAAGCTATTCCATGAGTTAAAGACATATGCAAATAGTTTTCAACATAAGGCTCATTAGACCCACTCTCCATGATGTATTTCTTAATAGCTTTGAAATAATAAATTTTCTTATGGTTCAGAGATCAGCACAAATAGTCTTGGAAAAAGCCTCGAAGCGAATTCATTAGGAATTGAGAGAAACATAGTATGCAGAAAATGCTATTTGAAACAATCCTCCAAAACTTTGCTCCTAATTTTCTTGAAACATTATGCAACATCATAAAGAATATGCTATGTAATATTTTTTTTGTGTGAAGAAAGAAAAGAATGAATATATATATATATATATATATATATATAATCTCTCAGTGTCGGGCCGTGCATTTTACACCTAGGCCTTCAGTGGCGTCCTACATGAATTAATCCATCTCTTCATACCATCATAATGATGCCACGGCTATATAAACCACGACTAATTGCATCCAAAATAAAAGTTTTTATATACATAATGTGTGTGTGTGTGTGTGTACTGTGTATATTTATTATGTATATATTAGTCCTGTCAAAAGATTATTCGCGATTAATCACATCCAAAATAAAAGTTTTTGTTTACATGTATATATATAAACATATTTTTCTTATATATATATACATGCATGTGTTTTTATTTATATATGCATAATAAATATACACAGTACACACTCATATATTATGTAAACAAAATATTTGGATGCGATTAATCGCGATTAATTGTTTGACAACACTAGTGTATATATAAATACACACACATGCACTTATATATTTAAGAAAAATGTGTTATGTTTATATATTAAATATATATATAATATAAATTATATGAATATAAATATTTACTTGTAAATATTTTCTAAATATATACTGTATGTGTGTGTCTTATATATACATAATAAATATACACAGTACACACACATATATTTATATATATATATGTAAATATATACAGATACAGTGTATATTTGAATTAAAAAAATTGTATCAGGATCATTTTATTTCCTGTATTAAATTAGCATTATTATGTTTTTGCATTTATAATAATGACAGTTTTAAGGGGAAATGAGCTTAATTATTATGAAAATGTCAATGCAAAAAAAATTAAGTTTTATTCTTATGTTTTATTTTACTTTTGGGGTGTAATTCTGATGCCCTTAGTCACCTTTTGAACCGTCAAAATGTTTAGAAAGATTCTTCAGACACTCATCATTTCATATGCTGAACATAATGTCATAAAGGTGAGATGTCCCTGAAACTATGGAGAGCTTTCAGTACTAAAGACATCTGTTGCTTTGCGGGGAGAAGTGAGTCATATTAAGCGTCATAAGAGCATAGTGGCTCTGTTGCAGCCCTACAAGTTTACATTTTATAAAGCTCCAGCCCAACAGCATCAGAAATTTGATTCTTTATGAATTAGTAAAGATGGAGCTGCCGGGCTGAGCCAGTCCCAGGTTTGAGTCATAGGGTTTGCCAACACTTTTCCATTACGCCGCTCCACCATTCCACATGAGAGCTCTGATAAAGAGAGAAATAAATTGAGGGCAATTTACATAGAAACAGAAATAGTGTGCAATGTTGAAATTTGTCCCATGATAAATGAGTGTAATTGTGATGCTCGGAATGCTGAGAGGATTCCGCTTGGAAATAGAGGTCAGTTGTTTCCTATTCCCTGTGCAGTGTGCAGTATTCAGAAATTGTTTTACATCCAGAGAAAATCAATTTCACATGGTTCTCTGTCCTACAGTCATGTGAAATATGTGTAATTTTCTTGGTCCGTGGTGATGGCAGGTTCTATATATATATATATATATATATAGTTCATGCATAAGATGAACGCAATCTCTGTTCCATTTTGTAACAAGTTATGAATTGTGAGGATCTGATGCCCCTATGTGGTGGAAGATGATGCTACATCACAAAAAAATATATTTTGGTCTTTTTGCCCTTTTTTGTTTTAGTTTTATATAATTTCTCACTTTTATTTACAGCGTAGTACAAACATATTACAATTTATTCAGCAATGCTAAATATAACAACCGTTGTTCAATAAATTTTAATCTTTTTTGCAAGTGGGATTTTTGGTGTTAGCCAATGCTACGCACATATCAATTATTCTGCAGATATGTGCAGGGTTAATTGTTTATTGATTGACAGCAGAGTAGAAAGACTTCAGAAAATGATGGGGAAAAGAAGGGGTAGCTTTCACTGAAAATAAAATCTTGTAAAAAATATAAATCTAAAATTAGAAGCCAAATGCTGTGTATAACTCAATATATTGGAGGAATAATTAAAAGAAAAGTTAAGATTTTGTTAGCATATACTCACGCTTATGTTAATTGTCATTTTTTAAATGTTTTCATATTGCTTTCAAACGACAAAAGTTCAAGTGTTTTTCTTTAAAAAGCACCTATTCATTTAGCCAATAATATATTAAAATACAATTCAAGATTTGAATTAAAATGTATATTTTTGGTTGGAATAAGGTAAAAAAAAAAAAATAGACACGATGAGTCATATGATAATGAAGAATATATATATATATATATTTTATATATATATAAATATTAGAGATGCACCGATCGATCGGCCAGAGATCGGAATCAGCCGATTGCGTTGAAGAAAAGTAGATTTTTGTTTGTATATGCTGTCAATTATAGTTCTTAGAAAGAGAATCGGCGAAAATCGGTATCGGCAGATTACACTAACAAGAAATTGGAATCGGTCAAGAAAATTGCAACATGTGCATCTCAATAAATTAGAATGTCGTGGAAAAGTTCATTTATTTCAGTAATTCAACTCAAATTGTGAAACTTGTGTATTAAATTCAATGCACTCAGACTGAAGTAGTTTAAGTCTTTGGTTCTTTTAATTGTGATGATTTTGGTTTACATTTAACAAAAACCCACCAATTCACTATCTCAACAAATTAGAATATGGTGAAATGCCAATCAGCTAATCAACTCAAAACACCTGCAAAGGTTTCCTGAGCCTTCAAAATGGTCTCTCAGTTTGGTTCATTAGGCTACACAACCATGGGGAAGACTGCTGATCTGACAGTTGTCCAGAAGACAATCATTGACACCCTTCACAAGGAGGGTAAGCCACAAACATTCATTGCCAAAGAAGCTGGCTGTTCACAGAGTGCTGTATCCAAGCATGTTAAATGAAAGTTGAGTGGAAGGAAAAAGTGTGGAAGACAATTTATTGTCTTTCAGTTTGAAACTATTGACAAACCTTGTTTGATTTGGCAGATTTTGGCTGTTGGTGTCATCAGGGGATGATATTTGCCATTGAAATTTCTCTCAGTGCACTTAAATGTCATTTTTAGCCTTGAGACACTCACCTCCCTAAAACATAAATATGATTCCAAAGCAGGGCTGTTCTGTGAGTTTACATTGCCAAATATTGACCTACTGAAAGTGTCACTCAAACGAAGCTTTAACCTTATCTGAATACCCAACATTTAAATTAGAACTGTCAAAATACTGAAACCAAATAAAAAAATTTTAACCTGTCTTTACCTTTTATTTTTTTATTTTGAATTTTTTTTTAAATGTTTTCTTTTTTAAAAATTTTTTTTCACTTTTTCACAACTTGATCATTTTCTCCAATGAAATGTGGCATCTGGTCATGTAATTTCTGTCAGACAATTTGAAACTTGCATACAGTTGGTCTCACTTGAGAAAAAAAAAACATTTAGAAATTTTGGAACAGTCCCTGTAATTCTGGCTGGGATTATACACTGATTTTGAGACTGTTTGGCTAGATACAGCACTGTATCTATGCAAGTTCATATAACTTGAAGATAAAAAAATATATATGGTTTCTGCCGTCTTGAGCTAAATGGTTGCTGTAGGCAAAGGCAAAATATTTCAATTTATGTTCAAAACGGAGTCTGTTGGTTTCTGAAAAGCCATTACAAATACTATTTAAATGATTTCTTCATTTAATAGACTGATTTTAAAATAGAGGTATGATACTGAATGTCAAAATCTTGCCTGCACCACCTGAAATAGCAAGCGTATGTTCAAAAACTGTTGCACCATGTAACTCAGAAATTAGTGCTGGGCAACGATTAATCGCATCCAAAGTAAAAGTTTTTGTGTTCATAATATATCTGTGTGTGTACTGTGTATATTTAGTATGTATATATAAATGCACACGCATGCATGTGTATATTTAAGAAAACTATGTTATGTTTATATATTATATGTATATGTAATATAAATATATGCATGTTAATACATGTAAATATTTTCAAAATATATACTGTACATGTGTGTCTAGATATATATATATATACATAATGAATATACACCGTACACACACACATATTATATAAACAAAAACTTTTATTTTGGATGCGATTAATCGTTGCCCAGCACTGTCAGAAATATTAAGATCAGAGCACCTGCCATATGTGTAGCTGGATAATATGTAGCTCATTAGAGATTCCCTCATCTGCCATTTTTCGTTAATGTTGTGTAATGGAACGGTGCCAAATTGGAGGTTGATATGACAAGGTGAATGTTTTCACAGTATTCATAAAGTTGATTTTTGGTGAATATTTGATGTTAGTCACCTCCATCTTTTGGTAGCATTATCCCGTTTTAGCCTTAAAGTATTTGAGCACCTCACTTGTTTTCGCTCCTGTAGCTGAGGGCTTTTTTCTTTTCTTTTTTATTTGTTTATCCTCAGGTCCTCTTAGATGAATAATTTTGGCACTTTTCAGCTTGTGTGATGTTTAAAGAAATACCTTAATGCATATGTAGTCACAACATTGTACATGAAATGGCCATGATATACAGTACAGTAATACCATCTCAGAATTGATTTTGCTACATTATTGGATGGATCAAATTAAAGCACAGCATCATTGTCAATTATGAATAGCACACAAGTTACTCAGTCCAGCTGAATCTAATTGTGCTCATATTATTCAGCAACATTTGGCCATTTAATGTAGAATAATATAAATGCGTATATATATATATATATATATATATACATGTATATATTGACAATCGTGCCAAGCAGGTTTTTATGACATTGATGAGGGAACATTTTCTGACAGTGGGTAAATATATACTCAAAGCAGATCTTTAATGTTGTATGGGCTTTAAAAGTTAAGTTTATGGTGTATGCATATATTTTGTTGTAATACTCCATTTGGTGTTCTTTTTTTTCCGTTGTATACAGTGTTTATGAATTATAAGTTGTACAATATAATCGTTTCTTTAATTCAGGGTTATTGAATTGGCACTTTGCCTGTTCATTCAGTCAAGTGCTGTTTTTGCTCTCTTCGTTTGGGTTGCGTCATGTTCCCGTTTGAAACGCCGTTTGTTTCTACATCAATTTAGAAATAATTGTGGCTTTACATGTAAACTGGGAAATACTCCTTGATGTACACTATAGATCTTGCAAACAGCCAAAAACGGTATCGTTCCTGTTTGTAGGAATTTGCCTGTTGCACAAAAACGTAGCCTTGCAGACTGGTTTTTATATTTCCAGATGAAACTCCTGTAAGCTCTTATAGTTTGGAGTTAGAGCAAGAATTTGGAAAGCATGTCTTTTGTCTTTTTCTCAACAGTGGTCTGTTTGTATTGATGTCTGTCTTTCACTTTTGACATTTGCCTATTTCAGATATTATTATTTTACATGTTTCGACTTGTACCCCTTTGGATTTTTAGGGACCTTGTCAGTGCTCCTTGCCATTGCTTTTAAAACTGGTTTTGCCTTTTACTCTTCCTTAGATGGCCTTTTTTATGTGTCAGCTGTTTGTTTTTGATGCATCATAAAGTAAGTGTTTTATTCTTTGTGATTCAGAACCAAATTCCACAGTTTTATGTTAAATTGCATGCATGTGAAGTCTCAAAGATAAAAAAGAAATACAATTACAAAAATACAACATATTTACTTGTATTGTCTTTGCCACTAACACTGTGATATTACAATGTATTCATCTTCAGCATTTTTTCCCCCTATTATTTTGGTTATGTCTGCATTTTGTTTCAAATGTCAAGGGAACTGTTTAATAGACCACTGTTGAAAAATATATCATTAAAACATGGATTCAAAAATGTTGTATTATGTAATTTCATGATGTGCTGAAAAATAAAATGTTTGCCAAATATATTTAAGTAAAATAGTTTCACTCTTTATTTTAGTTTCGTAATTTCACAGTTAAACTGCTCGTTTTTGTTCCAAATGTTTTATATTTATAAAAATAGCTGCATGCCTACTCTAATTCTCACAGATAACAAAATTATTCATTTTAAATTTTAATGCAAAAACTGTTTAGCCGTATACACACTCTAAATTAAATAGTTTTTACTACAGTAAATTAAGAGAGTTATTGGAAGATGAATTTTATTTGTTTATTTGCACGTATGAAATTTTGTTTCTCACGGTCAGTTTAAAAAACATCTCAGCACAACACCGGTAGTAAATTTGAAAAGAAAAAGAAAATACAAAATAAGAGTTCCTTCTTCCGGGGAATTCAGGAATGCAGAAATAAACTTAATTAGAAAATTAAAAATGAACAGCACTGTTACTGAGGACCTAGGCATGATTTCTGAATTTGTTTCTAAATATTACGCAGATATTTATTCTTTAGAAGAGGATTAAGACAATGTAATTCTTTTTAAAACAATAAAAAGTCCAAAAACGTTGTCTTTACAAAGTAAAACATAGTGTTCTCAAGTCCTTTCTCTAAATGAAATTGAATTCTGTATAAAAGCTCTTAAAAACAACAAACCCCCTGGAAATGATGGGCTTACATCAGAATTTTATAAAGTTTTTTATAAATGATACATCTAAATTCCTGTTAGCGGTATATGAAGAGGCCATCAACAAAGAAACCTTACCTACATCACTTAAACAAGGTGTTATCACCTTGATCCATAAACGTCAAAAAGATATCCTTTTATTAGAAAATTGGCGACCTATCTCATTACTAAATAATGATTATAAAATAATGGCATCAATTTTTGCAAAATGTATGAAAAATGCATTAAATGAGATAATTGATGAAACTCAATGTGGATTTATGAAAGGTCGCCACATTTCCTCTAATATTCGTTTAGTTATTGATTTAGTGCAGTATAGTAATTTATTAAATGGAGACCCTTTAATAGTTTCTCTGGATTTTAGAAAAACTTTTGATACAGTAAGCCATAATTTTATATTTGATTCATTAAAACTCTTTGGTTTCGGACAATATTTCATCAAAAGTGTAAGAACTATGTACTGTGGTAGCAATAGTTCTATTAAACTTGCCAATGGAACATCTCCTAGATTTGAAATAAGTCGAGGCATCCGACAAGGTTGTCCAATTTCTGCATTCCTTTTCTTGGTCGTAGCTCAAGTTTTAAGTAATATGATAAATCAACATTCCTTCAAAGGTATTGCAGTTCATGAAAGTTTTAATATTTATACATTTAATTTAATATTTAATATTTTACAAATTTAAATATCGCAACTTGCTGATGACACGACAATTGTTCTTAGTGATAGTTCTGAGGTACCTCTGGCTTTGAATATCATTAATCATTTTTCTAAATTTTTCAAAAAGTGTGAGATCCTACAGCTTAAAAATGACAACCTATCCACTGTATGTAATATTCCTGTTAAAAGCATGGTAAAGTATTTTGGAATCAAAATCTCTAAAAATACTGATGCAATGGTCAACTCAAATTGTATACCTGTTATCGAAAAAAATGCAAAAGAGGTATAATTCATGGTTAGCGAGAGATCTTTCTATTCAAGGAAGAATTTTATTAAGTAAAGCAGAAGGTCTTTCGAGAGCAGCATACCTCCTGTCTCCGCTTAGTGCCCCAAAGGTTATATGCTCACAAATAGATCAAATACTCTTTAATTTCATCTGGAGAAACAAGCCTCATAAAATAAAAAAGTGTCCTTGTTAATAAACTATCTGATGGTGGGTTAAATGTTCTTAATTTTACAATTTTCAACCAAATTAAAAAAAATTAATTGGCTTAAAAAAAGTATTTTTAATATTGTCCCATATCATTTATTTGAAAAACTTGGGGGATTAAATTTTTTGTTGCAGTGTCCTTATATAACTGGCAAACTTCCCATTGCTTTAGCCAACTATCACAAACAAGCATTACTTTACTGGTCACTTTTGTACAAACACAATTTTTCTCCTAGCTGGTGTTTTATATGGAACAATGCTAATATCACTCATAATAACAAGTCATTGGGTTCGGCATAACATTAATTGTAAACCAGCTTATTGACAAGAATGGGCAATTATACACTTACCCTAATTTTATTACGTAATATCACTCATAATAACAAGTCATTGGGCTCGGCATAACATTAATTGTAAACCAGCTTATTGACAAGAATGGGCAATTATACACTTACCCTAATTTTATTACAAAATATGGCTTTTTTGTAAACGAAAAATTATTTAACAAAGTAATCAAGGCTATTCCTAGTGGCATAATAATTTAAACTAAATTCTCTGATGTAAATATTAATAATACAAGCCTACAAAATCTCCAACTTTTTGTAAATGGTCTCTCTTTTTTTGACAAGCGTTTTAAGGGAACGACAAACAGTTTTATAAGAAACTCCCTTAATGTCGGATCCAATCCTCCATGTAAATCAAAATGGCTTAAACCTCATTGTATATCTTGGCGCAGCATTTGGATGTTCCCATATAAATATGTAATTTCTAATAAAGTAAAAGAAGTACTTTACAAATGTATTCACAGATATTATCCTGTAAATGCAGTTGTTAGCAGATATATTCACAGTGTTTGTGATAAATGTACCTTTTGTAATGTATCTGTTAAAGATATTGAACATTTATTTTTCTATTTCATTTTGGGGTGACTTTAAAATAGACCTAGCAAAAAATTTGATCAAAGCCCTTAATTTAGAACCTCATGATATTTTACTTTGTTATCAAACCCCATCCTTTTCTGATAAACATATTTATATTATTAATCTGTTAATTATCTTAGCAACGTTTTATATGCATAAGTCAAAAGTAATTCAAAAGAAACCATCATATATTAAATTTTGTAACACTGATCTTAAAATATACTTTGAAACCCTTTCTAATATGAGATCAGATCACAAAATAAGAAGCTAATAAAAACAACCTTTCAAAGTTATGTAACTGCCCTAATGTATGTATGTATTATTTTTTTTATCCTGTTATTTTTATTTTATATATACATATATATATGTATTAATTTTGCGTTTTTGTTGTTGCTGTTGTTCTGTTTTGCATGCTTTGAGATGTGCAACGTTTCGGGGATATTTGGAGGGCTGTCTGGATTGGTGAGTTCAGTCTTGCTTCCTTTTCCTGTTTTGACTCAGTCATGACAGCTTATCTTAGTTCATTTCCTCCAACATGGAAGCTGCTGCATTTGCAGTTTAATTGCAGTTTGAATGGAAAAGACATTTACATATAATTCTCTTGCAGTGGAAACTGTTTGGGTCACTGTATGGTTGTACAGTAGTATGTAGTACTGACCAAAAATATTTAATTGCTATATTTACTAACATTTAATCTTTAGATCTTGCTTTGGGATTTGAGAAGTTGAAATGGTGTGTGTGGATGATAGTGGTATTATGTAGGAGTAATGAAATATATGTGCTTTACTTCATCCAGATGCGCTCAGCTCCATGCTGTCAGACTTTGATGTGGTGCCTGCATCAGATCTGCAGCTTCATTCGGTCAGGAAGAGGGACGTTGATGTCCGATCACATGTGGAGCGGCTGGTCAGTTTCACAGCACTCCAGAGGTACAGCTGACAGATCAACACACAGCACTCTATAACACAGTGAAAGGCACTAGATAAGGAGACTTTAAGTCGCTAAAGGCAGATCACGTGATGTTCTAATCATACTCATAATTATTTATGATTCAATTATTTATTTTATTAGAAAATACTTAATCTATTCATTTATTGTTTGTTATTCTTCTTTGTCCCTCCTTGATTTAAAAAAAATCATAATTTTGTATTAATTTATTTTTATGTATTTATATATGTCTGTGTATTAGGGCTGTCAAAATGGCTGAGAAACTAAATTCGAATTTTGTACTTAAATATGATCAAAATTCGAATTGTATTCTAATTTAAAATGCATAATTTCAGTTTGGGTGAAGAAAAGCTTTTGGCTTCTCTCCTGAGGCCACAAGAGGGCGCATCGAGCAAAATATTACTAATGCGCGTTTATTCAAAGCATAAGATAACATGACTATCGGTGAAAAAAGTGCATAATGTTTAAAATCATGTTTATAAACCAATTATAATTAATTAAGTTTCTTAAACAACTATAAACAAAATAGCATCATGCATGTATGCATAGTTTAATACAAAGGGCTGAAAAGGGCTTTTTGTTTGTGTTGTTCTTCTCTGACCACCCCGGGGGTCCGTTCTTCGTACCTCGCTTAATACATCTGAGATGGTTCGAAAGATGCCAGATCTTCTAATCGTGATAACTAATCTCTGGCTAATTTGGTTCTTCAAATGAATTTGCGGATTTGATTAAAATATTAAAGTTGTCTAAGATTACTGCGCGTTCTCGTGTTCCCCGTAAAGGGCAGATGCATCGATACTAGAAACCATGATCAGCAATGCAGCGATTCGCTGGCGGCAAGACAGCAACGTAATGACATCATATTATTAAAAAAGACACCTGACGAAAAGCTTGACAAATTTCTGGACTTTTATTAGGAAACGGCCAAGCGAACAAAACTACATAAATGGTATAATAGGTAAATGAAATGTGCACTGTTTTTATTTTATCATTTTTTTTTTACATGATTCCCAATTATTTATATTCACAATTTCTAGTATTTGTACAGGCTTTACATTTTTATTTCAATGTTGTAATAAGAAATTCATTTAATTTGATCTTTGAAGCAGATTTGTTACGTGACAGCATTAATTAAAGTTTCTTAAGGGTCAAGATCAAGTTATCTGCATCTCCTGCGGACACCTGACGAAAAGCTTGACAAATTTCTGGACTTTTATTAGGAAACGGCCAAGCGAACAAAACTACATAAATGGTATAATAGGTAAATGAAATGTGCACTGTTTTTATTTTATCATTTTTTTTTTACATGATTCCCAATTATTTATATTCACAATTTCTAGTATTTGTACAGGCTTTACATTTTTATTTCAATGTTGTAATAAGCAATTCATTTAATTTGATCTTTGAAGCAGATTTGTTATGTGACAGCATTAATTAAAGTTTCTTAAGGGTCAAGATAAAGCTTGACAAATTTCTGGACTTTTATTAGGAAACGGCCAAGCGAACAAAACTACTTAAATGGTATAATAGGTAAATGAAATGTGCACTGTTTTTATTTTATCATTTTTTTTTTTTACATGATTCCCAATTATTTATATTCACAATTTCTAGTATTTGTACAGGCTTTACATTTTTATTTCAATGTTGTAATAAGAAATTCATTTAATTTGATCTTTGAAGCAGATTTGTTACGTGACAGCATTAATTAAAGTTTCTTAAGGGTCAAGATCAAGTTATCTGCATCTCCTGCGCTCCATCAAGCCACTCCCATAATATCTGTCATCACTCAAATTAATGCATGACTCAGATTAACTGTATAGCATGTGTGTAAGACTCTAATACAATTATAAAAGTAATTATTTTATGACGAATAAATCTTTCAGTGAGTAAAACTGGCTGTTTGTATAGTATTATAGATTACACAACATTATTATATTATTTTAAAATACATTTTTAAATGATTATTATTTTAAATTATTGTCCCTGGATTAGTAGGATACTCTTGTAATAAAGTAGCGGTGGCTAGGACAGATTTTAAGTATCAATTCTGCTTAAAAAGATGCAATCTAATCCTGTTTACATGAAATGAGCCTGCTCCTGACCCGGTTTAAGCTTACGGACCTGTTACAATAGGGCCTTTCGCACCGCTTTAGTTCAAGAACTAAATGTACAGTACTAAAGTACTGGGACGATTTTGCGCGAACTATTTCCCAGTACCATTTAAAGGGTTGCATTCGCACCGAGAGTATGTACTAAGAACCGGTCTACAGCGACGTCATTTGTGCGTGGCGTTCAACGACAGAAACAAAGAAGAACAACATTAACAACAGGAGGATGGAGGACGCTGTGATCGGAGCTGTGTGTTTGTTGTGTCTCCCGGGTTTCACAATAATGGACATGGAAAGTCGACGTATACGTAAAGCGATTGAAAGAACGGAAAGGAGGACTAAGAATCTCCAACAACAACTGGCAGTGCCACATTTGCTACAAGTGCCTGCACTTCATTTAGCGTCCATCTATCGCTGTTCTCCATACTTGCGTTTTAAATCATGGCGGGATGAGAGCAACTCCGGGATGAGCTTCGAAGAACCAAACAATCCAAGATCAACAAATATCCAAGAACAATCAAATCCAGCTAACTGAGTTAGCGACGTACGAAGAATGGACCCCTGGTTTCTAATAATAATAATAATAATAATCTTATGTATTTATTTTTAGCATGTTTTTTATCATAAAAAAATTATCTTTATTTATTTTATTTAAGATTATTTTATTATAGTATATAGACTTGTATTTTATATGTTTTATACTAACGACTATTTTTATTTCGATTAATCTATCGACTAATTTATCGATTCATCTAAACGATTAATTTCCCACAAAAAAAAAAC